GGATGTGTTCAATATCAAATTATGATTCACATTCTTTCTTTGAGAAAATTTACATAAATGTCGTTAAATTCTTATGTATTTGCATACTTACACTTAAATCTTATGTTGACATACACAATACTCAAGGTTTAAACAACACTTCAAAATGCTAGTGTTAGCCATGGAGATGCATAAAAAGGGTATACACAAATATCACTCAATTCCAATATATTTGACTATTCAACGCTTAAACTTCACTTACATACCAACACTCAAGGTTTAAATATCATAAAAAGAAAATTAGTGCACTTACACACATAACACCCACGACTTAAGAATCATATCAAAAGCACATAATACTTAAGTACCATATCAAAAGCACATAATACTCCGGGTTTTAACATCACCATAAAAATATTATTACATTTACACACATAACACCCCAGACTTAAGTTTCACCTCAAAAAAATTATTGCATTTTAAGTTTAAAATAGAAGCTCACATCCAAAATATCATTATATTTTAGCTTAAAAATAGAGAAGTGCACTTATTAATATATAGATAAACATATGTATGTGAGAATGATAGCCTATATGTCAAATGTGTAAATAAATGCGTGTTTAAAAATATGAACATAAGTTCTAATGCCTAGCCATTAAACATGTAAATACATAAGATCGAATAATATGTGTATAAAGCCAAAGTTAGGTATTATTCATACAAATACATAAGATTGAATGCCATGCATGTGAAGCCAAAGTTTAGGTGTTGCACATACAAATACATCAGATTTAATGACATGTATGTGAAGTCCTAACCTAAATTCTACCAAAACAATAATGACAACCCTTGAATCCTACAGAATTTAAAATCTTATTTCTCTTCTATCTCGCCTTAAATCTGAAATTAAATTAACCTCATTGTAAAAAAAAAAAAAAAGGAATTAGGAGATTTAAAGGATTTAAAATGCATGAAAGAATTTTGAGTGGTGGAAGGGAATTAGGAGATTTAAAGGATTTAAAATGCATGAAAGAATTTTGAGTGGTGGAAGAAGAGAGTGCTACCTTCTGATCTTCCTTGAATGAAGGAGTGGAGTGGTTGATTCTTTTGGCTCACTCCCAAGCTAGAACTTGATTCGTTAAAAAGAAGGCGAGAGACTAAGGATCGTCGCCAATGGGAGGATACAGTATTGCATCCGGAGTCTATACGTAGTTTGGAGTCCAAACTCCAATAATTTTGTGCTCCCTGTTAAGTAGTGGGCGCCAATTTCCCGGAATAAAAAATTGGGAAAAAACATTTATTTAATACGACTTGCCCCAAAAACCGCTTGATTCTTCAAAAATAAAACCCCACGCACCCTCATCATTTTCTTATTCATTGGGTTTCACCACTAGTTTTCTTTTGCGATTTTGGTAGTTAGAGTTTCACTTCTTTGACATCCCTTGCACTATCTAAGAGTTTTGATGAAGAGCACAGCCCAGGGTTTAAGGTTTCACCATTGGTACTGGGAAGCGTGGCCGATACGAGCTTAAGTTTCCACCTACAGTCCAACAAACGAGCTAACCTAGTCAAACTTTCACTCAATTAATATGTTTGATATGTTTCAAATGATCTTTAGGTTGTAAAATCATGTAGTTATTCGATATGCAATGTTTTGAATTCACGACAAGAATTCTGCAAGCCAATCATGAATGGAACCAAGGAAGGATAACAACATCAAAGAAAAAGGGAAGAAATGTGACAGGTAAATAGGAAAAATAAGTCGGTTGTATTTATTTTATAGTATTTAATTTTTTGCAGGTGCAAACCCTATGTAATCGAAAAGTGTAGTTCTTCATTTGTCTCATTTATTCAATATAATATTTGCAAATATTCTATTATAATCGTATATATTCATGATTCATCATTGTAGATTAATACATTTTATTTGATAAGGTTTATTTATTCAATGTGTTAGGAAAAGTAGAATATATCAATTTTAACCATTATATTCATTACTTGTCTTTGGAGAACAACGCATTTAATTTGATAAGGTTTATTTGTTCAATGAGTTTAAAAAAATACATAATATCCTTCCATACCGACACGACACCACCACAATTTCATCATACTATTTCCTTTATACCACCATGAGCATCATATTATTAACACCATAATACTAGCACAATATTAAAATGTTACAATCTGAATACCACCAAAATACAACAATAGTATCATCATAAGATAACCACAATACTACTATAATACCCTCAAAATACAACCCCAACACCACAAAAATATCACCATAATACAATCACATTATCATCCCACGACCATCACAATACCACCAAAGTACTACCAGATAACGCCAAATAACTTCATAATAACACCAAAACATCAGCACTATACCACAAGAGTACTACCAAAAACACACCACAATACTAGTGTAATATCACCAAAATTTCACCACATTACAACCAAATACCAACATTACTATTATAATATCATCACAATACCTCCATAATCCATCAAAATTTTGGTGGTATTATGATGGTATTGTGATGATTATTTGATGATATTTTTGTGGCATTATAGTGATATTGTGATGGTTTTATGGTGGTATAGTGACAATTATTTAGCGGTATTGGGATGATAATTTGGTGGTATTATGGTGGTTATCTAGTGGTATTTTGGTGCCATTATAGTGATATTATAGTGGTAATTTGGTGTCATTGGGGTGTTATTATGGTGGTATTATAGTTGTTTATGGTAGTAATATTGTTGTAATGTGATGCTAATAGAGTAGAATTATGATAGTATTATGGTGGTATTTTGCTTGTAATATATTAGTATTTTAGTGATTTTATGGTAGTGATATGGTGGTATTGTGGTGCTAATTGAGATGATAATTTGGTTACATTGTGGTGATATCATGGTGATATTATGGTTGTATTGTGGAGCTTTTTTCATTTGCATTATGGTAGTAATATGATCGTATTATGAGTATATATATTTTTATTAAAGAAGAAGTGATGTCATAAAGGCGAGAATCTTATCCGCTTGAGATCAGTAATTATATGCCTACGTTATTGTAATGTTTCTTGCTTCTTAATCGTATTCTTTATTTTGATTTTTCACGTTTATACTTTACTTGATCGAGACATAGACTAGCAGTGATGTCTTCATATTATTGGTCTAGAAGTGCACATCTTAATAGTTTTGCATAAAAAGTTGCACACCCTTTAGATTCTAATAAATATGAATTTGTTTATTTATATATAAATGCAAAGTGTTGCATGAGAAAATTAAATGTATGCTATGAAGTTATTAGATTATTGCATGCCTTTTAGATTCTAATAAATTTGGTTTTATATGTAAGTTAGAATTTATGGCTCACTTAGTGATTTATTTAATTTGTATGAGTTTATTTTTTTTACTTTTAAAACATAAAATCATTTTGTTGTCTCAAAAATATGTTTTTAATCGTAGATATTCTACGTTTGTGAAAATATTACGTCCGGAGTCCGGATGGAGGTCGTTTTTTTTTCCTTCGCTTCTTTTGTGCATCACGTTTATTATCCAGATGGAGCTTGCGTCCAAACTCCGGACGCAATATTTTTTCCCAATTTTTTTGTTGAGTTATTTATGTATCAATATATTATTAATGAAATTAGCATCCACAATTTTTTTTTTACAAATATTCACCTTTCTATAACAATTATTCTCCACAACTAACTTGAGAGATGGGAAAAATTATTCCGTGCGGACACCGCTTGCAGAGATGCATGCGGTGTCCAATCTCCAACATTCGGTGAGACCCACTTTCAATTTTTTGTTTTTTTAAAAAATCCCACCAAAGCTGTCATCGAAGGTGGAGATCAGACACCGCATACATTTCTGCATGCGATGTACGCACGGAATAATTTTTCGCGAGATAGAGGATGAAAGTCACATATGTTCTCGAAAAAAGAGGAAGATTTATATACATACCCACATATATTTACATATCTAATAACTAAATTTTATTTTATTTACATTAAATATTACTCACTATGCATAAAAAAATATTTTTTTATTATTTAAAAAAATATTGATATTTTTTATATGATAAAAAAATATTTGAATGTAATAAATGTAAAAATAAAAAAAAATTAGATATTAGATATGTAAATAGGTAAAATTGTCTGTATTCATGTAAATCCCCCGCAATGATTTCATTTGTACACTTGCATTGAAATTTTATTTGAGTGATTAGTTTAAATTTACATCTTATTCTATAAATTCTATTGAATAATAATAATAATAATAATAATAATAATAATAATAATAATAATAATAATAGAAAAAAAAGAACTCATTTATGTTAAAGGAATTGTAATAACAAAGTAATAAGAAATGGGATAAATAATAAGAAATTAATTGAGCAAAGACTAGAATTTTCTAAATTTTAATTATTTTAAAAAATATTTATTATAAATATTATTATTATTATTATTATTATGGGGCAGTTTTATAAAGTCCAACCGAAACTTATTATTTACAACTCAACCGCCCGCTTTCATCTGTTTTTCAAATTCTCACTTA